CATTAGGTTATATCCAAGTAACGTCTTCCTTTGGGCAACGACTTGAAGAAACAAACTAAACTGTTCATCATTTATTCTTTATGGTACGCCAGCATTCATAACATGTAGGAGAATCACTGTCCCCCAAACATCCGCTGTTATATTTTTTATATTTATATCTTTTAAAAACAACGCAGAGCGTGTATGACAACGGAATATCTTCAGAACGGCTCCAAATTACACAAAACTCATATGGGTGAGTAGAACATGATGCAATAACGGAAAATCCAGGGACCAATGTAAAAAAAACATAGTTCCCCTATAAAAGATTTTCTCTTACAATTAAATTAGAAGTTGGGAGTTGTGGCGTAGGGTGCAGAGCTTTGCTCGGCAATTGCAGGGTTGTTGCTTTGAATTCCAACTCAGTCATGTCCTGACACCTTGAGCAAGACACCAGACTTACATTGGTTGATTGTGTTCAGAGGGCCTGGTAGCACCTGTTTATGGAACCCTTGCTTTTGCCAGCGTCCCCACCTCCATCAGACAGCTGAATGTTGAAAAAACTAGATCATGCCACAGACTCTGCATCAAACCAACCATATCAATGTGTTTTTTTGCACCATGTTTTTTTCTCCCACAGTGTTTACCCGCAGGCTCCTCTGATCTTTAGTATGCAAAAAGATTGTTGAGCAAATGCCCTAGTATCAGTCCCCTACAAGTGAAATTGAAAAATGACATAACTTGTGTTGTGGTGGTGATGGCAACCAGAAAGACTTTCTGCCCTGGTTGAAAGGTTTTGTTTTGGGCTCAGTAAAGTTTCGGCATTTAATTTGTCTTGTTTTATTAAAGGACAAAATAAAGATAAAGGAGTACTTTCTGATGTAGTGTGAATGTATTAACTTACTATGACAGCCATACAAAGGAATGTTATTTTCTTTGTATTATGTAATCTAAAGCCCAGCTGCAGCAATTATTACAGATTACCATAACAATAGGAACAGCGGAAATTAGTTCCACTTTGTCTGATGGCAGCAGCACAGCTGATATTTCTCTTCAGGATGGTGTGACAGCCAAACAGGAACAGTGCTATGTTAACTCTAAAACCGGACAGTAAAACAGGTCATTGTGATGTAAGTACTCACACACTTGTTATCAAAACATATTAGATAAAAAGGAAGATTAAATGGGTCTTTAATTTATTAAGTCATTTTGATTCAAAGCTACTGTGAATGTCTGTGATACCTATCCTAATAGATTAATCATATCTAAAACGGGAATGGAATTTAGAGGGAATACTCCCTTGAACAATTTGATTGGGATCAAATCAAACATGTTGAAGATTTAGACAGAGCTTATCATTCTGATAAGTCAGAAACCTCAACTGGATCCAAACAGTCTCATTACCAAACTCACAAACCTCGGAATCAGTCCACGTGAAGCAACTGGTTGCTTTAAGCGGACTGGTTGCTCGAGTTCCTGACCAGTTGACCCCAATATGTCCGATCCAGCTGTAGTCAGAGATTGTCAAAAAATTCTGGTTCTGCACCATCGAGAACATCCTTTCTGACTGTATTAAAGTTTTGTATGGGAACTGCAGTACCTCGGACCCGGAGTGGTTGGACCTGGACCATGCAATGGTCGGTGAAAACTGACCATTGCATCGCCGGGGCACCGCTCCCTGCCATCAAGGACATCTACAGGAAGTGGTGTCTGAAAAGAGCTGGGAAAATCACTAAAGACTCCACTCACCCTGCACACTCTCATCTCACTCCTGCTGTCATGATTTTATCCAAAGACCCACATGCAGAAAACCAAACAGAGAGACCAGGGGAAGGTTTAACAGGTTTATTGTGAATTGGTAGAGAATGGTCCAGTCCTGCTCTGAACACTGGCGAACCGGGACTGTAAAGTGAAGGGGAAGATCCCGCGGTTAGTTCAGGCTCAGTGGGACATTTGTGTTTTTCGATTTTGAAAGGGGAATAAAGGCAACAGGACTGACGTTTCCAGAAAAAGGTGTCTTTCTCTGAATCCAGTCGGTGTGGGTTGTTCTGGTAATTGACTTGCTCGTTGGAGGGCGGACAGGATTTAACCAGGTTGAGGTATTTCCTTGAGGAACGTAGAAAGGGACTGCCACTTGAATTTCCTGCGGTACTTGAACGGTTTCTTGTGGAGATGAATCCCCTGCTCAGTGTGAAGCTCAAACTATCCCCTGTGGAAAAGTTGATCCAAACCTCCTGTTTGAATCCTCAGCTCAGTTTGGCACTCAGAGAATCCTTCCGGGGGGAGAAGGTTCAAAACATCCAGTTTGCAGAATGACTTCCTGCCGAGAGGCAAAGACCAAAAACAACAAGGTTAAGACTCAGGTTGACAAAAACTCAGTTTGACTCAGCAAAACTCAGTTTGGCTAGAGTACTCAAAACTGGCAAACACTCTGGCGTCGAGGTAGTGGCAGTCAGCAGCTTAAGAGTCCTCAGGTAATGAGGCAACCATCCGCAGGTGTGTGAGAGGACCAACGAGAACCAGGCACCACCTGGTGGTGCCACACACACACACACACACACGCACGCACACACACACACACACACACACACACACACACACACACACACACACACACACACACACATATGGACACAAACACAAGAATCTACGGATCCAACACCATGTACTTACATGTAATTCTCAATTATAGCTGTATATAATCTGTTAATCTTTTATCTGCTATTATCTATTATTTATCCTGTATTATAACCCCACTAATATATATATATACAATTCATATCCTAACTTTGCTGTATAATCTTTACATAACTTCCATATTTATCTATTTTATAGCCTCTTACAATTACTCTCTGTTTCTATATATATCATCTATAGTCCATGCATACATAGTTTCTGTACACATGTAAATCAATATTGATATCCTGTGTAACACTTCTGGATAGATGCAAACTATATTTCATTGCTTTGTACTTGTCACAGTGTAATGACAATAAAGTTTAATTCTATTCTATTCTAAATGATATCCAAAGCAAATATTTATTTGCATACTGTTTATTTTTGGATAAAGACCCAAATGAAAATGTAAATAGAATACTGCTCTCTGTTATTGTTTCTATCTATTCAAATATGCTGTAAATATTTCATTTTCTTCTAATTAAAACATTTTGTCTGTTGAATATTTAAACATTTTAGTTAACATAATCTTGAAATTTAGGTCAGCATTGCCATGGAGTTTTAAGGAAATTTTGTAGGTTCTCTGTGAATTTTTTTCTATCAAGCCCCTATAAATTTAAATCTACTTTGCTCCCTGAGCAGCTGTAACCAAGGGGCCAATGGTTATAAATAAAGTCAAAATGTTTTTGTTCTTTGCTTTTTTGTTGTAATGAAGATTGATTGATTGATTAATTGTGTGTAATGCATCATTCATAGTAGATCAGGAAGCATTTGCTTTTGGATGAAAACCTTGTCTGTCTAAAACCATTCCTTTATTGAACATTTTGTCAGCTTGTTTGTCTGCTATTTTAACCAATATGATGTGTTAAATATGTTAGATCTGCTATTCTCACAACTTTTATGAGACACTTTTTTTTTATAAAGTAGGGCATTAATTCACAAAAAAGTTTATTTTAATTCTATTAATCAAAGTTTTCTTCCCAAAAGCAATGATAAACCGCACAGCAGCTTTGTCTGGTAAGGAATCTGGTTGTTATTCAAAGTTGTAAAGGACTATTTTATGAACTGCAACATAAAACTGATTTAAACTAGAATAAAACTTTTTGAGTTTTAATCGACTTAACCTGGACTTAAACAAAAACTAAGACTAAACCTAAGATGGCTGTCAAAAACAACACTGCCCAGCAGGTGTCACTGAGCTGCTGCGTTTGAAGCCCAGAAGCTTCGTCTGCAGGCTCAGACCTTCAGATGGCTGTTTGATACGGTCAGATTCTCCCTCCAGATCTAATTTATCCCCAGATTATCCTCGGATCCAGTTTATTAACTTGCTGTTCAAACTCTACTGAAGCTGTTTGGTTTGTGTTGTTCAAGCAAGTTTATTGTATTATCTTTTTTTTTTCCATCTTTTTAACGGAAATTCAGTCAATCTGTCTGCGTCTGTTTTTACATCCACTCTGAAAAAACCTCACCTGCTTCTCGCAATTCTCTGCAAATGAAATACCACCAAGAGCTGAAATACCAGAAAAAAAGACCAAATGGACCAAAATCACATTCTATAGCAAACGACTAACAGGTTTAAGCACATCGGTTCATTAGGCTGGTATTCTGCTGTTGATCCCTTATAATACGTAAGAGAACCAACACAAGCAGAAACTCTGTTAGATGAAAGAAATAGGACAGGTTCCAGCAGGTCACAAACTTCCCACTCTGCTCTGGATCATTACTTTTAGGGGAATGTTATTACGTCAGACGCAGGCTAAAACTGATTACTTTTCCATTAATATGAAAAGAAGCACATTGCAAATGCACATGTAGATAGAACTAATATTTTGGTGTCACTAATCTGATACATTCTGATTCCAACATCAAGTCAAGTCAAATCAAGAGATACCTTTCAGAGTTTAATAAAGAGCCCTGCAGGCATCTAATCACACTGAGGTCAATCCTTTTACACTTAATTTAGAAGGTTTAGATTTGCAGCCATTTCCCTGAGAAAGACTTTATCTTCAGTCTAAAGAGAAACTACAAGACTTAATGAGAGGGCTGAGTTCTAATGAATGGGTTCCACATGCTGGTTAGTAATCCATAACTAGAACGTTCTACAGAGATGATCTGAATTGTGGTCTCATTGCAGATGTTGCTACTTGCAGTGTGTCCCTGCAGCCAATTTTTTCTCTACATTGAACCCGCCCCCAGAGAATTCCCCACCTTCTTCAGAAACAGGAAAGAGTCCAAATAAGGGCATGTGGGTGAAATCAGAGGACTCCCGTAGGAATCGCGTAGGGGAGGAGTCGGAGCCAGGATATATAAAGGCTGCTCTAATGAGGGAAGGGATCAGACACTGAAACACGTGAATAAACCAGAACCATGCTGCTACAGCCAGTCTGGAGTTTTCTTCTAGGATACTCATCTGTCCTGCGTTCCCCCTTCTTCCCAGTCTTCTTCTCTCTGTCAGTGTACCTGATGTTCTGTTTGCCCTTTTTGCTGCTGGACCTGTTATCCTTAAAGTGGGACTTTGTGCGCAGATACAAGCTGCAGTCTCAGAGCTCCATCAGTTGGGCAACTGTTCAGAGATGCCTGGCTCTGACCCTCTACAACCATGTGATCTTCATCTTTCCACTCACCGTGCTCAACTGGTACCTGCGGCCAGTGCTGCTGCCCCAGGATGCTCCCTCCCTGCATCACCTGCTGGCTCAGGTGCTGGTCTGCCTGCTGCTCTTTGACTTCCAGAGCTTCAGCTGGCACCTGCTGCACCACAAGGTGCCCTGGCTGTATCGCAACTTTCACAAGGTTGGTTCAGATTCTAAAGTTTCATCCTTTGAAATTCAGTGTCATTGTGTTTAGATGAATGCGATTCTTTGATTTATCTTCATGAAGTTTTATCTTCTCATGCTCACCTTGTTCCCTTTTTCTCCTGCAGCTGCACCACACTTACACCTCCACCTCAGCCCTCACAGCAGAGTACTCTGGGGCCTGGGAAACCCTCAGTTTGGGACTTTTCGCTGCTGCCAACCCCCTGATGCTGGGCTGCCACCCCCTCACAGAGATGACCTTCTTCATTGTAAACATCTGGCTGTCGGTGGAGGACCACTGCGGTTATGATCTGCCTTGGGCTACACACCGTCTGATCCCCCTGGGATTGTTTGGTGGTGCACGCCACCATGACCTCCACCACCTAAAATCAAACTGCAACTTCGCCCCCTATTTCACACACTGGGACCGTCTGGCCGGGACGCTGCAGGAACAGGACTGAACCTAAGATGACACTGCTGGGGACATCCTGAAACAGACATCCAGAGATGTCATAAAATACCCATTCAGCTACAAACTGATGGCCCCAACCAGTAGCTTTTTTTTTTATTGACTTTTATCACCTTTTGAATTTTGGTGTTGGAAGCTTCCAGGATCTTGTGGGAATTCTGTTCTTATTTATATGGAGCACCTTCTTGACCAGTAAACAGACTGAAAGAAGTTTGAATGAAAGACTTCTACTTTAGTATAAAGATTGTCTTTAAAAATACAATTAATGTTCATATTGAACCTTTTAACCTGCACCTTTGTATAGTTTTATATACAGTTTGTATTCAATGTATTTGGAGGAGATGGACTGAGGAAAAATGAATGTGAACTAAGAGAGAAGGGAAGTGGTGATGTAAGCTGCTGGGAAGGAGGATGATGAGGCAATGAAAACATGATTGAATGAGAGGAAGATGGGGAATGGTGAGGAATATTTTGTATGAATTAAGTGGAAAGAAATTGTTTTTTAAGGAAAAATGTATGTGAAACTTATGAATGAACTGAAGCACTGAGAAGACAAATGAAGTGTGTCTTCCAAAGAGGAATAACAGTTCTCTGTGACAAATTATTATTTTTTGTTGGGGTTTGCTTCTAAATGAAAATGTTCCTATAGTCTAAATGTATGAGTTGACCTGCTGGTTTTAGAACAGGTAATTCTGCATTTCGTAATTTAATGATGTATTTAATTATTTATTAAGTATCAAATTAATAAAATTTTCATTTAATAATTTAATGAATCATTTGTGATACATTCTTATGGTGGCTGAAGAGTGATACATGATTTCACAGAAAATTCAAAAGGTCCTGAAAGCTAAAAACAGTGGACCCAAAAATGTGAGTAGCATCCACAACAAATAGACCTACAGTACACACAAACAAAACAGAAGCTTGTAAACAAAATGCTGAAAAGGAGAAAATCTTCAAACATAAAAAAATGAAGAGCAGTAAAATAGAAACATGCTGCAAATACAAATCCTGCAGCAAATAAATAAATGACAACAATACACAAAGAAACACAATCAACAACTTTCTCATGCTTTATGATATGTTTTTTCTTATTTAACTTTTATTGTTTGCTCAGTGGAACAGTGGGTAGTACTGCTACCTTGCAGCATGAAGGTTCCGGGTTTGATTCCTGGCCTGGGGACTTTCAGTTTGATTGTTCTCCCTGAACATGCGTGGGTTCTCTCTGGGTACTCCAGCTTCCTCCCACAGTCCAAAAACATGACTGCTAGGTTAATTGGCTTCTCTAAAGTCCCCTTAGGTGTGAGTGTGTGTGAATGGTTGTTTGTCTCTTGATGGACTGGCGACCTGTCCAGGGTGTACCCTGGAGAAAGGAACCAGCACCCCTCGTGACCCCACTTCGGATAAGAGTGTTTGAAAAAGGATGGCTGTTTGCTTTTGTTCATAGCACTTAGAGACAGGCTATCTATGTAAATGGATCCATGAATATTTTTATGTATTATGATAATTATTTTCTAAATATTTCTGAATAATTCAATTCAGTTTAAATATAGCAGCAATTCACAACTGTAAAGTGCCATGTCATATCAAGGCTCTGTGCAGCTCAATAGATCATACATTCAAATTGATTCAAAGTTTTCTATCTAAGGAAAACCAGTTCATTCTCATTGACTCTTCAGCAATCCCTCACACTAAGCATGCTTGTAGCGACAGTGGAGAGGAAAAACTCCCTTTTAACAGGAAGAAACCTCCAGCAGAACCAGGCTCAGTGTGAGCGGCCATCTGCTGAGGCCGACTGGGGTTCAAGGAGACAGAAGCAGACATAGAAAAAGCAGCTGTAGAAGGCGGCCCCGTCCAGGAAACACACAGCCAGGCAGACAAGCTCTAAGCCAGCTCCCATGTCAGAGGATGAAGAGAACACACCCAGACAGTCACAGTCAGAGAAACAGGACTACACTGAAAAACAGGCTGATCTCTAACCATCATTACCTCCAACTACATGCTTAGAACCTCATCTTACTTTTTTGGCCGCTTTCAACTGTCTGTAAAACATGGAATCTGCTTATTTTAATAGGGGGAAACAAAATGGGTTTTGATGTCTTAATGATTGACAGTTTATCTTTGTAGATCACATGAAACATTTGAACAACACCCACGTATTGCACGTACTAAAAATATTGTCTATATCTATTGTTTTTTATAAAACTCCAATTCAAAACACATAATTTCAGGGAACTTGACAGTTGGTCCTCTTGAGATATTAATCACTGTTGATATGAGTCATCTGTCTATATCAGAGTGGGCACAGCTCCAGCACTGGATGGTGATGTGTTGAAATACTGAGCGAGTTCAGTTCAAACGTTCAATAAACTGGTACCAACAGATAGATATGGGCCAGAATGATGTCTGATCATTTTTCTTCTCTTCTCTCTTGTTTATGATTAGGATCGGCAGGATGTGCTGTTTCAGTTTTGTCTGCTTCTCTTTCCTAAAAATAGATAAATCTTCCTGATGCTGAAAATACAGAAGTGTAAACAAACACATGAACTATGACAGTGATGGAAAATAGCAGGGCAAACTGCTCTGTCTGTATTTAAAAGATAAAACCACTTTCTTTCAAAAGCTGTAAAGCCCCTGAGATCAGAATCTGAAGAAGCATCTATAAACAGAAGCTGGGATCATTTTCCTGTAGTTACAACCAAAGCTTATTCTTGTCAATCTTAGTCTTTCTGTAGTGGAACTTGATTTCTGCATCATCAGAAGGTTTAAAATCAAAGGAAGTTGAAAAATACACCCTAATAACCTGAGAAATTGTCTTTTAAGAATGGAATAATAATTTCAAAACTGAAACGTAGTCTGCCTAAAGTCCTAATGACGCATAAATGGGAGTTTACTTGCCAAGAATCAACACAGACCCACATGTGCCATGAGAATCATTGCTGATAAGATGATAGAAACAAGCTTTAACATGAAAAATATTGATGCACAAGAACAAAGAAGTCTAGTTCCACATGTCTTCCTACATATTTAATCTGTAAAAAGTATTCTTGCATCGGATCCTGGTCACACATTACATTTAACATGTTAAACTTTCTAGTTGTTCCGCAGTCAAACTGAGGTGCACTGTACCATTTGGTGTGACACCAAAGTGGGCTTTTTGCCTGGTGTCGTTTCACACAGGAGGTTCACAGAAACAAAGTTTTCTAAAACTGAAATCAGGGAAACTGACATTTTTTTGAGTTTCCTCAACCTCTGTTTCAGTTACCGTAGTAACATTCTCCCTAGAGCTAACCTGGTCGGTAGCGGGTTTTCTTCAGTAAACCCGGAGTGTCCTTTTTGCATCTGCAAAAAGCATCTTAGTTTTGGAAGACAGAATCAAACTGACAACCCATGACAAGTTTTAGAACAGCCTTTTTTTCCTTCATCTTCACCTGCTGCCAGATGAGTTTACCTAAATAGATACATTAATCTACTAGCATTCAAGAAGTAAACCCGTAATGCTATGGGGGTGACAACAGGCTATGGAAAGCCGTTTGATATGCATTCCTGGTGTCTGAAGAAAAAAATTTTTCCTTGTAAAAATGACGATTTCAAACAAAATGACGTTCTGGATGTATGTAAATCTATTTCAGTTCTCCATATTCCTATTGTTAGTGGTCAGCATTTGAAGAAATATATTTCAGATATCAAATACATATTAAGTCACGCTGTCTACTTAAAATGTGTAAACATTTCTAGGTATATTAAACTTAATTCTTACCAGTACAATTATTATTCTCTGAAATTCAGTTTCTGCTGCAATAATTTATTAAATATATTATAGTTCAGTCTAGGAATGGGATTTTGATCAGGAAAAATCTTATTTTAGTATTTAATAAATGTAAAAACAGCCTGCCATAGTCCACTTCATATGAACCTAAATATTAACATGAGTAACAATCTTCTCCTTTGCCATCTTCCTCTTTTTTGCAGCTGTAGCACTATTTTTCTGTCTTTTAAACACATCCTCCTTTTTTTTCATTTCTTCATTAAAATCTCTGGGTCCAGTGGGGTGAAATAGGCACTTCCTGTTTCCTGTTGTCATGGTGACTTGTCAACTTGTCACGCACTCACTTAACTGAGTGGACATACTTAGTGCTGATTGAACTAATTCATAGCAGCTGTTGTAAAAACTGAAAACAGAGTTTCCGACTTTAGGCTAGATCAATTTAGAGTTGAGGGTTTTAATCTGAGTTTGTTGCTTTGTTTAATGGACCTTCTGTTTTCTTCATTATATGTTGACATGAAATGATTCCATGCAGGACATTAGTTTTACTTCATCATTCATAATTGTAGGAAACACGTTCCACATAAGGAGATGAAGATTTAGTAGCTTCTAAATGAGTTCCCTGTGCCCTGAACAGCCAAACTAAAATAACAAATGAACAAAATGTACATTTTTGAATTCCCAGATGATTTATTAGATGTATAAAAAAAATGTCTTCCCTTGCTTGATAGATGTGCAGAAAATACCTTAAACTGCGTAAAAACAAATTTGATCTATTCTAATGGACTACATCATCAACATGCAGCGCTGTATGTGTCAAGTTCAAACTGTGCAAACATCCATCCATGCGGGTCACGGTGAGGCTGGTGCCTTTCTCCAGCAGTCTATAGGTGGAAGGTTAGCCCTGCAATGTTCATCAGTCCAGGGCTAACCTTGGACTGATGAACAGGTGTTCAAACACTGATTTGCAGCTGTATCATACAAATAAATACCTAAAAAAAAATCATACATTGTGATATCTGGATTTTTTTTTTTATTGTGTCTCTCATAGTGGACATGCACCTAAAATGAGAATTTCAGGAGCCTCCATGATTTCTAAGTTCAAGAACTTCCAAAATGACACCCAGCTTTATTTATCCAGTAAGCCCCCTTACTAACTGCCTACTTGAAATTAAAGACTGGTTCACCTCAAACTTCCTTAAACTAAACAGCGATAAAACAGAACTCCTCCTCGTTGCCACTAAATCCACCCTATCCAAAATCAAAAGTTTCTCACTACCCATTGACAACTCCTTAGTCTCCCCCTCCCCTCAGGTCAAGAGTCTGGGTGTCATCCTCGACTCCTCCCTCTCCTTTCAGTCTCACATAAATAAAATTACCAGGTCTGCATACTTCCACCTTGGCAACATTAACCGTCTCCGTTCCTCCCTCACCACTCATACTGCCTCTGTCCTTATCCACAGCCTCATCACCTCCCGTATTGATTATTGCAATTCTCTTCTTTTTGGCCTCCCTCATAAATCTCTCCATAAACTTCAACTTCTTCAGAACTCAGCTGCTCGTGTCATCACCAGAAC